ATCCAGAGGATCCAGTGTTAGGAAGAAGGAATAATGAATCAACATCTGGAAGTAGGTCGATAATACAAGCTTTATGCTCTTGACACGTGCGATTCTAAGACCGTTTTTAATTTTTACAGAAGCATATGCAAAGGATCCAGTGTCGGGAAAGAGGAATAATGAATCAACATCTGTAAGTACGTCGATAATAGAGACTTTATTCTTTCAGTACTCTCTCATTATAATTGTAAAACCGTTTTTAATTCTCACGTAATTTGTGAAACTATAAACAACTTTTATCTGCGTAAGCTTTACAAAAATTTGCCTTCCACAGTTCCCATTCTGAATTGATGGAATATCTCGCGAGCATAGTACTATACTAGTCTAATGCTGAACCTTCTAAAAACAATCTGAAAATTTCAATCTTCTCTTCATCTTTCACTACCTTTACACGTTTACATTCACTCTCAAACGTGTCCATCCATAGCGCTACATTACAATTCTTGCTGCTGAATTTTTCAATGATTACTTTTTCCGCTATGTTTGTTAAACTATTTTTGCCTGCGTTTTGATTTTCATTGCTTGCATTCACAACTTTTTCCAATATTCTGTTTAATGATTCCTCAGAAATCCCACCTACTGGAGCCTTTTGTTGCAATCTACCACTTGCTGCAACTTCTTCCAACAGAAAGTCTTGGAATATCACATTGCCCTCTTCATCTAAATACGTTTCTCTCAAGCTTTCTGTTAGAGATATCCATACCCTTCTCACCTGGTGCCTTTTTGTTAACGTGTTTCTTACCCTTTTGAATGCTGTCTATACCATAAGTTCTTTGTGTATTCCTACGTGTTGGAATTCTGCGGGTAAACAGTATGCCTCTCCTGTGGGCGTTGCGATAGCGGTTATGACTATTGTGTTCGATTTCCCGTCTTCCGTAGCCTGTACCGTGAATTCAAATCGTAATTTGTCCATTTTGGAACCCTGCGTTGTTTAAGAATGTCGTTTTATAAGACAATACACTTCACGTGCTTCGTCGAGAGGACTCTTGGAATAAATCAGTTCGTTGCTCTGAAATAGAGTACTTTATTTTACCTACATTTATGTATCATTACACTCTTAACTCCTACCTGAAATAGAGAAACGACATTCGAAACCCTTTGCCCTCGATTCCTCTCTTATTTCTAATATCAAATCACTCCTCCTTTCTCTAACCCTAATCTCTTCCGCCACGCGGCCAAAACCTCACTCTAACTCTTCTTGCCGATCGCCACGCCATCTCCCATACCGACTCACAAAGAAATATATTTTCTCACCGAGGAGAGATTACTAAAGAGTGGCAGCCTTATGGGACCTCGCGGCCCGAAAACCGGTCTGCAATTTTTGACGCCCTCTAGAATGAGCTGGGCCGAAAAGTAAGAAACACGAAGCAAAACTGACGTCGGTTCTAAACTGCATTACTGTGTCAGACGTGTTATCGACGAGTCGTCGATGCACCAGTAACGAAGTAATATCACAAATGAAGTATACATAAGTAGAGATTGATCAATGCATTTCCTTGTGTACTGTCGATGTGGTTCTAGCTCTAATAGAGATCGAACGGGATTGTTCATAGTCCCAATTAGTTATTAAATAAGAAATGTTTTGCTATTATAATTTCTATTGTAATGAAAAAGTTATGAAATTATCCACAGTCATTGAAAGTATTATTCCATACAGTTTAACATAATTATGGTATTTTTATTTTGTTGAAGACAGAACAAAATTCCAGCTAAATCCACCACTAATGGAATGGAAACATTTACATATTCTTTTGTGCAAAAGCTGAAGTCAATGCAAGCTGATTCTAATCGTAAATGTAATTATAACAATTAATTGCATTCTGTTTCATATAATTTTTTTGCCGTCTGCTATCGGGGGAAGCTGATTTTGCTCACCCCGAAGTTGAAAATTTTTACTGTGGCATTACACTTATTCTTCTCGCATGTCTTTCATACCGTTTTTTTGACCTGCTCTGTTCCGAAACATCCGGAACAGGTAAAGTCCCAACACGGTCACAATTGGTAAGACGAGCATGGCGCATGCCATAAATTCGAGAAGGACAGTGCTCTCTTCACTTTTCGCCATCCGAGCAAAAGCGGCTTCCTCCGATAAGAGCCAGACCCATGAGAAGTTCACCGAGTATCTCAATCCCATCCTGTTCTATTTAAATATTATATTCGCAAAATATAAATAATTTTTACTATTCAATATCCTATTCTTAAAATTTGTTTGCTTATTCAAATATGTATACACCCTAAATTTCAATGGGAATATTAATATGTATATTTTACATAAAAGTGGTACAAG